TTCTCCATGTGCTTCAGCATGATCTGCTCCATGTGCCTCTCATAGAGCAGATCCTCTTTTCCAAGAGGATCTGCTCCATGATCTTGCCAGGCACAGAGGTGACACTGACTGGCCTGTATTTCCCTGGATCCTCCCCATGAGCAAAACCCCAAAATTCCACTGCTGGCACCAGCCTCTGAGTCACGTGTTGATCAGGTGTGGTTTCCTGTTACTTCCAGTATCCTTCCCTGCCACTGAAGGGATTGAGGAAAACACCACCTGTGCTCCCAACTGTGCAGCCAATCATCCAGGGCCCTGAAGTCCCTTTTGATGTCTTTTGGGTTTCTCTCCTCAAGCTCATCACTGTCCACCTGCCTGACCAGTAAGGGGTGATAATCCGAGGGCCAAACCAGACCAGGGAGTTTCCTGGGGATGGCCCTAACCTGGTCCCCAGGGAGCCTGCAGAGTTCCCCATGTGATGGGTCTGGTCAGCATATTGAGCCCTCTGTTCCCCTTCTGAGGGGAACAGCTGTATGAGAGCTGCTCAAAAAAGCCCCACCAGCAAACGTATTTGAATTTGAGTCTAGAATTTTTGATACATTCAACATACGTCTCTAGTACCACCCTATTTTCTGTAGTAGATCTTAGTTCACAGAAATTCTCGTTTCCAGACAAAGGGACATCATCCCCAGAAGTTTCTCTCATACTACAAACAAGGTTAAAAAGAATCTTGCCAAGAGATGCAGAACCAAAAACATTTTCCACCAGGTTATTTGCTTTCCTTCAAGTCCTTCAGTTGTCAGTAACACATCAGTAGCAGCACATGAAGCTATACTGATTGATCCCTCCACAACATTTAAGAGGGAAAAAAGAAAAAGCAACCAAACAGCTGCCAAGTTGTCTCCAATATTTATGTAAGCATAAAATTAATTTTCTCAAGCGCCTTGTTTTCCATGTTCCTGTGACCCTGAACGGCACTTGTTCTACATTTGCTTTCTACATAAACAGTTACTCTCAGTGAAGTACACAGTAGCTTCCCCTTTCCTTTGGAAACTTCCAAGTGAGCAGTCACAGACTCTTCTGACACTCGCTAGACACCATTGTTTCAGTGAAGGAGGAGCTGACTCACCTTTTCCGTGCTGTGCTTTCATCAAGCAGTCTCCGATGAGCTGTATGCACTGCTGTTGTAGAACTCTGGCATGACCGAGGACCTGGGAATCTAGTTTCTCTCCTTCCACTTCCTCCCCATTTGCCAGATCTGCACTGTAGAGGGTCAAAGCTGCGAAGAGCAGCCAGGAATAATTGTGGACATACGGCTGGATGAGCCTCTGCCGGTCACTGATTCGAATAGTCACCATTGGGTACACCGTGATGCTGTGAGTGGGCAAGTGACTGAAAGAAGAAGGTACGTAACTCGGATATGTTGGCTAGCAAGAAAGCGGCTGCACTGTGACACACGACACCTTTACAGGAAACTAAGAAAAACTCAACATTCCAGAGTTTCAAACCACAGACCTGTTTTTTAAAGATCTTTGGTGTCAAGCACAGAAACCTGTGTTGGCTGACCACAGCAAGCATCCATTTCTCCTCTCATTCAGGGTTGATAACTCCCTTTCCTTTTCCTAGCTACAACTAGAAAACAATTGCTAGTGAGTCACTTCAGAGGTTGGGGCAGGTTTCCAAACTGCAGAAATGTTTGCTGAGCTGGTCCTGTATTTGCTGTGTTTCCTCGAAGGACACCAGCTAGGTGTTCTGATGTCAGACACAACCTCCTAGGAAGCACCAGGAGAACGACAGCTTTTACTCATCTCTTCTGCCCAGTGAAGCGAGGGAAACAAAACCACACGTTTAATACCTGTCAGAGTACTTCTTTGCAGAATAGCATCCGTAGCAAAGGTCAAAGTCATCACACACGTTACAGTTCATTCTCCGACCTATGATAACTCCTTGACAGTGATCACAGGCATACTCCATGTTAACCATTTCATGGTCATCCTCATGGCCTTCGGGTTTAACTCCACCTGTAAAGAAGCATTTTAAGATTTCCACGTAAATCCTTTCTGATAAAGGATCTTTCTTAGTTTCAAATTTATGTTCAGATTGGGAAAAGCTTAACATTTTTTTCACTTTATTTAATGTATACTTCAGAAGACACTATTTTGCCTTTGTTTATAGGGTTTTGAGGGTTTTTTAATGATTCTTACCAAGAAAACAAGTTTTACAGAGATCCATGTCATTGCACTGCAGACAGCGGTAGCGATGCCATGGTGCAATTTCATCACAGCCATCGCAGGATATGTCCACATTTAACAGGTCACAGTAACGAGCAACAAACATGTGCATCTAGAGCAATAAATAGACACAATTTAAATATTATTTTCTGACTTTGAGAAAGCTTGTTTTTAGACAGAAAGCAGAACACTTCCCCTGCTAAAAAGGATGGGGATATTTTAATCATTTTAGACTTTCCAAGGCCTACAGGGAGTCAGGGATCCAACTCATGCAAAATCCGTTTCAGCCAGATTCCTTTCTCTCCTTAAAAGTCCCCTGTTTACCCCTTCTGCAGATCAACAAGAAAATCATGAGGTCACCTTTCTCTGCTTCTCTGGGTCAGCTTGAGCTATCTTTTCATACCAGGTCTCGAACATCACATCCTGACATTCATCCATCCACTCACAGTTTTGCTTGTAGTCTGCAATTTCATCTTCTTCACTCCACTGACTAAAAGAAAAGTAAGCTCAAAATTAAGTTGGAATGCAATCAGGCTGGCCTCTAATGTAACTCGGGATACTCTTGTTTTTAAAGAACAAAGTCCTATAACATGCCAATAAAAACACAGTTGTGAGAATTCCAGTTGACTTGGTTAATAAATGACCATATAGACACCTGCTGCTTGCCTCTATGACAAATTCTTAAATACAGTTGGGGACCAGAATGCAAAATCAAAAATCTACACTTACAAAACTGCTTTTGGTAATGCTGGCAGATCAGACGAGCCATTTTAAAAGCTTTTTGGCCCTCTCATTTGCTCAAGTGTAAGAAGTACAGCTACTATAAAACTCCAACATGCAGGTGTAAAAAACATTTGATATTTATCAAGACAAACAGCATTATCTACCTCCTGCTACTCTGCTGAACAAGTGAAGTGTCCCAGCAGCAATCAGGTTAAAGATAAAATGTCAATAGTTGTTACACTAGCAATGCTGCAAAACAATTCCAATACTCCAGTCAAGCCCTCAGATACCGGCCAAAATTATGTCATAATTGTTTTTAGTACTTTTACTGCTTGTTCCAGCACAAAGTTCAGGAGCCTTTCATGGTAAAAATGGTATCCGTAGTTAGCACCACGTGAGAGTTGCACTCTCCCGGACTCACCAGATGACACTGTCATGAATACTTATGTTTTCCTGTGATGTACTCATAAGAAGATGTGGTAACTGAATCTCAACAAAGAAGGAAAGATCGCTCGGTTCCCAACTCATATCCAAAAGGTGAAGGAGAGTTGTCTGCACGCACGATAAGGCAGGAAGCAATGATCTAGAAAACACAGGACAATAAAAGGTGACAGCTCTAACCTGAAGCTGAAAACAGGATTTTTGGGGAGTAAGGGCAGACAACCACTACACACTGACTCCCAGGCTTTACTCTGTATTAAATTAATCACGTGGCAGAAACTCATGTTTACTCATGCATAAACACACACGATTTAGCAGGAAGCGCAGCCAATGCAATCTGAAATAAAGATGGTACCCTTCATGGATTCACTTTGAGATGGAGTTTGTGCTACTGCCTGAGCATCAGCAAGAGGGTTTGTCTCTTCTCTGCAGTACAACATTTTCTTGGTATTTTCAGGAACTTGTTCTGTTTGAAACCTTTGCCATGGTCAGTTGAAACCCAACAAAGTACTTAGAAGTTATTGGCAGAGACGGACATTATAGTCAAAAAAATCTCATTTCTCTAGGACACCCTGCTATAAATCCTAAAACGTTTAACCAGAATGTTACCAAAACATGAGCTTTCACCTTAAAACATCATTGCAGAATTACAATTTTATTGTGGCATTACTCTTGCCCAAGTATTGCCCAAATACAAGCACAAATTTATTGTGCTTTTCTGCATAGTAGTAATAAAAAGCTAACTTAGTGTCTTTAATCACAAGGTCAAGGCTCCTCATTTAGTTCTGTAAATAATGAAATGCATAATCAAACTTAATTGAGGCATTAAACAATGAATGACAAGGGAAGAGGTGAGGAAGAAGAGGAAAAAACCCCCACATAAGTAATGCAAGCAGTGTACCGTACCTGTCATTAATGGTACTAAATCCCTTCACAGAATTTACCAGGAACAAAACAAGCTCATAGTAGGACTCTCGAATCTCTCTGTGTAGCTCAGCACCGCAGCCTTCCAAGTTCCCAAAGTAGCTAGGAATTAAAGCGCCAGTTTAGTAGTCAAGAATCGACGGTTACATTCTAGGTATCATGCTTTGTGCAAATTCTACAAACAGGCAATCCTTTAAACATTCCCCACAAGTGGGAAGGACACTGGTTTTGTTTAAAATGCAGTCTATCACTTTCAAGAATAAAATAAAGGAATCCTGTACCAGGAATTGGAAGTTCAGAAACGAAACAGCAGAGAGAGTATTCCTGTGGCACTGACAGTAGAACTTCCTTCAAATTAAAAGGTGCTTTATAAACACCTACTCAAGATCTTAAAGGGGATCTGTGCACTGCAAGATGCCCATAAAAAGCTCTTGACAAGTGAGAAGCCAGCCGACAGAGTTCAGAGGGCACTGTCCAGACACCCCACAGAAATCAGACCTAAATTCGTGAGCAGGAACACTATTAGCCCTGCTTTGAGATAGCGCTTTCTAGCCAAAGCTTGAAAAAAAAACCCTTCCAAATTATCTTTCCTTACTCAGAACAACAGCTGCACATGCACATCATCAATATGATCATTTCTGCCTCTTTTTTCTGTGTGTATGTGCATGCCCTGCAGCTGGTTCAAAGCCATTAGTGCTGCAGACCTCAGCATGCACGGCCCTCACTTCAGCCCCCCAGCCCAGGAGTGAAATACACCACCCCACGGTGAAATTTGTCTTGTACAGGTATCACATCCAAAGGTAGGAAAATTCACAAGTAAGCAAACGCTGGCCTAGCAAGATACAACATGAACCATTCCTGAAAGTTAGTTCTGCTGCCAGACCGGCGTTATCTTCATTTACAAAGGTCAAAACAGTCGTCATGCTGCGTAAGCCATTGCCAGTTAGATCACTACAGCTTTTCTGGATGAGAAAGAAACCAATCTTGATTTAGACAGGAACTTCAACTAAAGCAATAACTGAAGACCCCACAACCTTTCTGAGTCCGCTGTAATCTGGTTGGAACTGTGAAGATATTTCTAGGCAGTCACGCTGTGCTTCAACCACATGATACCCACCGGCATCGACAGCTGTACAGCTACCTCCCACTTGGGAATAGTTATTAATTTTTTTAATGAAACACACAAGATATGCATAACGGCCTAAAACCCAATCCTCAGATCATATTTTTATTATCCATATGGATTAAAAAGCAATAACTTTCTCCTGTTTTCAATATATATGACTGGGAGAACGCAATGGCTAAGACACATTAAATCACATGGCTGAGACTTGTCTAAATAATTACTTACTTTGTAAAATCTTTCTGACAGGCTAGAAGTTCTAAGAGAAAAAGTACACACGGTGGGTGAAAACAATGTGGCTGCCCAAGGGAGTCTAGGCACCGGCGGATTGTTTTGAGCACTTCCATAATACTCTGTCCTTGGGATTTTCTCAAAGCAAGAACCTTCAAAACACTGAGAAAAAAAAAAAAAAACCCAAACTTATGAGGAATTCCAAACATTGTGCTTAAAATAACACAAATCAAAAATCAAGAAGTGCTTCACTAATTAAACAAGAGGTTGGTATCTAATTTTTCAGATGTATTTCAGCAGTGGCATCTTACAGCTGGAGCTAGTGCGAAAGTGTCAAATAGAATCCAGCATTTGCTGCACCAGCCCAAGTTTTAGAGTCTCAAAGAAATAGATACAACCCAAGAACTGGAAATCTCTTTTGATTTACATTTTCAGAATACCGGGTAATTTAATGAGATGCAACTATTCCATACGCGGTATCCAGGATTGCTAGTGTTGATATACTATGTCTCTGCTGTTTGTAACTAAAACACTAAATGCCACTGCAAACAGACCTCAGGACGCAAGACAATAAAATGCTAAGTAATGGTTTGTCTTACAATCTGAAGTTCTACACGATCTAAGTGAATCAAAGGAAGTAGGACTCTCTGTGAGTCCCTGCATGGTTGGGAATAACTGAAGTGTGATCTATGAATCTGACAACTATTCCTGTACAAAATGTTTTTCAATACTATCTTGCAGCTAAAATATATTTTATTCCACCCGCAGAGGTGTGAAGAGAAGTTTCTGTATTCTGTAACTGGCTACATTTTCCAACCTGCTTACCTTTCATGTGAAAGCGACTGATCCTTAATAAAGTCTAATATGTTCTTCAATATAGGATATTTCTCCTTCACAGTAGGCACAGCTCTTGGCTCCTCCACTGATCGGAAAGACAGCAGCCTTAGTCTTCCACGGCTGAGCTGCGATTTTCGTGTGGGCGTGGAAGGAGGTGATGATACATCTTCTTGCTGTGAAACTGTATTTTCAGCGGGCTTACTATGAAATGCAGAAGCTGCTTCTGTTTTGAGGGGGTCTGGAACTTGTTGAATCTTTGCATCCGACTGCGTCATTCGGGCCCCCTCTTCTGAAACAGGATGAGTTACTCCACTGGACAACAACGAGGGTGCTGCCTGGAAGTCCGTGTCCACAACAGAACCTTTTCTTTGGCGTTTATCACTGACATACTGTTGGAGATCATCAATGTCTTGAGCTTCCAGACTGTCTGAAGCAGAATCTTTCGTTTTTGCTCTTCCAGGCAAAAAATTCAGTAACAAAAGGCTCTTCTGAATACAAAGTTTTGCTGCAGCATAAAAATCAGAAGAGTTAAAATCATGACAATAGAATGCCCAACTTGCTATCTTCTGCTCAGGAATAAAGTGATTTATCTTACTTATTCTGAGCCAAGACAGCTAGAAAACACTGCTGTTCTCATTACACTGATCATGATGCTATCAGTTACTCAATTCTAGCTTTCCAAGCACTGGATTTGAATAAATCACACTGAACCATATGAAGCACACAGTAGTCAATGAGAACACATTTTATACTAACAACAATCAGCTGCTATTCTAACAACAGTTAATAGCGGTAGCAAGGATCTACACAAACAGATGAATGTAAGTTCAGTGACCCAAGTAAGAGACCACTCTTCACACAATTTTCTCATGTACTACTGTTTGCAGAAAATAGCAGAACACAACCCCAGACAGTTCGTGTAACGCACACCAGCTTACTTCTTCAGGTATTAAAAAGTAACCCCAGTTGCTAACTTAAACCTTTCATAGCAAAAATAATGCTTAACATTTACAAGGCAATGCTTGACTGAACCACTTGGAATGCTTATACATTTGGAAAGGCAACACTTACCAAGAGTTTCTGGGTTCACTTCACTTGCTTCTGTGTTCTGCTTCTCCTCAGTGTCATTTCCCTTACCCATCAGGGATTTCTGCTTCATTTCCAACTGCAGACAGGATGTTAAAACAGTTAAAATATGACTCCCTCTGTATATCCATACAGTAAGGCAGTATGAAGACTGCAGCACATTAAACGAATTTAATCTTAGGAACAGGTGACAGTATTTACTAGTCCCCTCTGCAGAACAAAACACCCAGTAGTGTGCAAGAGCTGTAGCTAAACTATCAGAGCAGGTAAGAGCCTCACACAGAGATGCCCAAGGTTTGTAGGCTGAGACCCTTCCCTGTCTTGTGACTGGATATGCATCAGCCCTCCAACAAAATGAAAGCTTCTCCTTCACTCCCACCACTCAGGAAGAGATATACATCCAGTCGTGAGAGAAGATTCCCCAAAAGCATCACTTCATCTCAATGAGTACTGTCAGATGCAAACGTCGCCTGGCACGTGACGGGCACAACGCATGTTAAGACGAGTAATTGCATATGCACTCACTGCATCTCTGGTGCACCAAGCTGCCAGCAATTCTTGCAGGCAGGAAGGAGGAGGGAGGCGGTGACAAGACACTAGGTCAGTTAACTTGGCTGGCCCACACCTGAAGGGCTCACAAGAGGAGCAGCGAAGCAGCCACAGCCTGAATTAGCTGTTCTCGAGGGTCACAGTTGTTAACATGTAGAATCTCCCGCAGCCTAGCAAAATGTAAATGAATTTTGGCTCTCTACAGCTTTAGGTGATGATGCAGACACCTCTCACCAGGCCGGGAGCTGATGACACCAGCTCCTGACACATGGCTTATCTTTCAATACATGTAAAACACACTCTGCACTGAAGGCAGTTACTTGCTTGTGAAAGAAGCCATCATTTCCTTTTCTGTTAGCACTGCATTACTGCAAGCATGATGTTCAACACCTATTTCTTTCTATTCTGTATCTCAAAAGAACTCCAACTGCTATGTGAGATTCTTAATTAGCAACAAAAATTCTTGCTGAAAAATAACACGAATGTAACTGAATTTGAGTCAAATGCAGTCCTAAATATTCATGGTGACACACCTAGGGTTGAGGGAAGGCGGGGGGGTGTAAGAATGCATTTAAATGTTTAAGTTCAAAGTTTAGAAGTGACTGTATGTACTTCCTAAAGTGAAAACAGTTGACCTAGAGTCACTGAAGGAAAACATGGTTCCACCCTACTCTGTAACACTATGCTGTAAAACATTAAGGTCAAGGACATTAACAGATACCCTCCTGAGTGATCTTACCATCCATATTCTAATTGAATCGGCCAGGGAATATACTTGTGCAAACTCATCACTCAAAGGCACCTTGCCTCCACTGTTGACTGGAAATGAGAGAAAGAAGAGTCCTGTTTATTTACAGCTCCATTTTTATACAACTTGACTACTTCACTAAAATTATGCTAAAGCCTTCTTTTCAACTCTTAGTCAATACTTGGAATTATGCCTGTAAGGAAACTAGGGAACAGAAACTACCAACATTCATATGCCTTAAATACATAAACTGCACCATGACGGAGTTATTTGTGAAGTTAAATTACGAGTATCTTTCTCATCTCTTCCCAGAATTGATGCCTGCAGTCACAAAAAATAAAAACTTCTCCCTGTACATGCAAATATCACTAATGCAAACTGAGATCAGAATAATCAAGAAATGCTTAAAGTTCTACAGATGTATTCAGTTAGCTGCTTTTTTTTTTTTTACCCTTTTGTTTTGTGCTATGAATTTCTGGACTGGACTTTCAAAATCCTTCATTTCCTTCTTTTCAGCACCACTTGCAGCTACTTCACATGGCACAGCTGAACATGGGTCCTGCCCCAGCAAAACGGCCACGTGAAGCTACTAACATAGTAGTAGGATGGGTATCTTATCCACTCGTTAAAATTTTCCTGAGCTACCAGCGTCTTCAATCCTACTCAGAAAATCAGACCAATTGTCAGACACAGACAAAATGACTAAAGGCAATAACCACTTTAGTCATCAAGTCAGTCTTTGTGTCAATCACTTTTACCCATAACTTTATAGCTCAAAATGTAAGATGTTCAACTTCAAAACTGTGACAGAAAGCAAAAGCCTAAAATGAAACTCTTCAAAACCAAGTAACACATGACTGTCCAATACTTCAAACATATCAATAAACTTAACGGTAGGATGGTGCAAGTTAAAAAGTTATTTTACCTTCTGAAAATATGTAAACTGTATTACAATGGACATTATACAAGTCAAAAGCACAACACTACCTTCATTTAAAAAGAAAAAATGTATATATATATACACACACACACATATATATGTGTATTTGAAGTATGCCAAGGTTAGTTTCCACAGTTTGAAAACATATATAAGTTGGTGCTGGCTTTTTAGAAAAGCTACAGTGACAGCGGAAACTGGTATCAGAACCTTCAATCCCTGGGAGCCACTTTGTTCTGAATTAAAACCCCAGAGGAATCACGGCTCTCCCCGGGTACACGTTTACAAGGCTTAGTCAGGAGCTTATGATGATATGTGGACAGAGCTCTGAAGACAAAACCATAGATGAATAAAAAATGAACACTCTAGAGATAAGGCTTACCCAACCTTCCTAAACGATGACTCCTTTATACAGAACATCTTTTTTAAAATGTCACACTAAACTGATTTTTCAGAGTTTATAAACTGAACGATAAGACAGCCTTTTACAAACTTTAAGTCTCCATTATTAAGATAGTCTAATATTAGAGTTACCATATTTCTGAAGCTTTTCATATAACTCTGGAGTGAGATACACCAAAGCAGCAAACGTTGAGTTCACAGCTTGATCAACAGTAGAACCAGCAACTACATCTGTCTTTGGGGCCTGTTTTTTACATGCCTGTGTAAGTCCTTTGAAAAGTTCAGATTTTTGCCCACTGAAGTCCTGGGCAGGATCTGATTTTGCAAAGTCGATAAGAAAGTGACGGCAGTCATCCTGGTGAGAGCTTCTAGCCTGGAAAGAATGTCAGAAACGAGTTACTTCAGTTGTACCTGAAAAATTGTTGCGGCTGGTTTCTACAGTATCTCCCACAGTTGAACAACCTGATCTAATGAAAGAAGCTCCTGCCCAAGGCGGGGAGGAGGTGAATGAGATGGTCTTTGAAGGTCCCTCCCAACCATTCTGTGATTCTATGAAACTGCAAACTAATAAAAGGCACAGGACAACAGTTTCTTTCCTCCCATATGCAAATTAAACAGCACAAACGATGACCACTTCAGCACAACAGCGTAAGCGGAGGGACGTATCAACTAGTTGAGTCTGAAAAACTCTGACACTCGGGGATTTCATGCCAATGAAACAAAAGCAGCAGTGAAGTACCTCTTTTTTACCCTGGTGCTGTCTACTGCTTTGACTGGCTCCTGGGAGTGCCGCAGGACACATCTGATGCCTGAAGACAGGTTTCCACAGCGGAGAATTAAGAACTGATGTTACTTTCAAAGGAGGCAAGTCTGCTTCACTACCTAGCTCTGCGAGGAATTGGAAGAGACATTGCAGTTAATAAGCACTTTTACAGATTAAGGAAAATAAATGCTAAACATCGGCAGGGGGACAGGTAAGGCAAATAGAAAGAACAAGTAATTTAACAACACGTCCTAACTTCTGTCTCGCTGATGTGGTGCAGAAAACCGATGTAGCCTTTCTTTAATGATGGCAGTAAGGATGCAAAGTCCTTCCATAATATAACATACTGTCGCTATAAGATAAAACATTTCGGCTGTACTTATATCCACAGAAACCCCCAAACAATTTGCAAGAAAGTGTAAAAGCTTTTTCTCCTGCAAAGGACAGAATATTTTTCTCCTTTGTTAATTATGAGCTTCCTTACATATAGCAAATTACCCTGATAAAAACACTTCAATTAGTTCCCTAAATCCACAGGTAAGTACCTGCCTCAACTTCCAAGCTAAGTAGTGACTGCAGCAAGCACTCTTTAATTTGGCTCAACTTCTCCACAGTAGGGAATGAATTCAGATTTAGGAAGCTGCAAATGCTCTGGTTTTGAAATGAAAGAATAAACAACTCTTTTTTTGTCTTATGGCACCCATCTCACATTTTGTATTTTACTTAGCTTCAGTAGCCCAAATCCCAAGTGTGCTTAACTCCAGGAATTAGCCAAACTGCTACCACTTCACAAACAGAATTCAGCTCAGTATGAATTCCAGGTGTCCCCCGCTTCCTAAACCTGGCTTCTGACTACTACAAGAGTCACACTGACCCCGGGACATTTTCAGAGTAGTCCCGCAGAACAGTGGCCAGGCTCGCTGCACTGCAGCCATTAAAAACGGATATAGCTCAACAGCCAAATGTCGTTAAGCATCAATACAGCAAGTCTGCCATCCTCAGTCAAGAGGGAAGTACAGAAGGAACTTTATTTTCACAGGGTATTTGAAACATAAGGTCCTTGTATCTTCTGTTTACATGGTACCCCAACATCTGGAGCTATCAAGTGCACTCACCTCGTAGAGATTTCAGGGCCATGCTTCGGGAAGCCAAGCGCCCCATCAATCGGGATACAAGAAGCTGTAAATCCAAGCCCCAAGAAACCGCAACATCCGGTAGGCCATAAGCAGTGACGGAAAACTTGTAGCCCCACTCATTATTACTGCTGTCAGAGTGAAAGAGAAACTGCAGCCGTGGGCCAGCCTTAAAGGTCACTTTCTACAGAGCAACAAAACAGTCATTTTGCCAAATGTACATGACAGGAAGACGTTTCAGGGTAATGAATTTCCTTCAGCAACTGTGGTTTTTCAGTATTACGTTCTGTCCATAACAAATCTAACCTCCCCCACCACCTGAATGAGAAACCCACGATACCAAGCAGAGAAAATTTCTAGTGAATAGCTTAATGATAAATTTCATAGATGATGGAGCTTTAAAAGTGGGAGCCATGAAACAATAGAGAATCATCCCATTTGAGCTGGGTAGGTGTCAGTGAAGAAAGAGCAGCTGCAGGAAGCACGCTTGCCTTGCCTTATGACATATAACATTGTGAGAGCAGAGCATCAACAAGTTCTACCCTTTTAACTGCTGGCAGTTAAGCACAATTATTACTTTTCACTTTGAATGACTGCTCCCTCGATAACAGCAGCAAAGAGGGATTCTTTACTCATTCATTCCTCTTATTTGCATCATTGCAGACTTTCTTCCTCACTTCCTGCCCCCCACCTTTGAGCAGGAACAAACACACACACAGAAGCACACATGCTGTAGACAATAGCTTTGCCGTAAGAACCATAAGAATTCCCTAAGATTGGATATATCACTCGGTTCAGAATTTAAGGGTGCTCACCTTAGGCCACTTCTCAGTGCCAACCTTTGTATCGTAACGAGTTTTTGCACCTCTGGCATCAGTAAACTCCAAGTAATCATACCTGTGAAAATTGCAATTCATTACATCCAGATATACTTTTTAAGTTTTGGGGGAAAACATTTGCTTTTGGATTTTCACAAGTGCTGCATCTCAGAGCTCCCTGTCACATCTTTCTAACCGTGCCTGCATTGCTTCACGTGACTGCTACCAAGTTTATTTCATGTTTCAATGCCACAGTCCCAACAAACGCAGACCTGCGTGCCTGTAAAACTTTCCCAACCCTTCCAAACTGCTAACGGGTGCTATATTTTAACATCTGGCCTATGCCTCAACTAAGCACCACTCTGCTATGTTAGCAAGAGAAGCCAAGCCAATAGTTATGCCTGAAGGGGGCAAAATAAATGCCCCAAGCACAAACTGCAGTGGTCACAGCGACATTACCGAACAGGCCGAGGCCGAAGGAAGCCAAATTCATACGAAGAGCCCGTCTGTGCGTTTGCCAGAAGTGGCTCTCAGCACGAGAAGTCATTCAGAATAACACACTGTATGTCACACAGGACAACGAAGTAACTGAAACGGCCTGCTTGGCATACAAGTATTACTCTTTGCACACTGAAGTATTAACTGCCCCTCTGCAAACAGACACTGGAATCCAACAGCACAGTATTAAATTACCTCCTTTCAGTTTCACATTTTTCATCAAATTCCACCTCAAAGTAAGTTGCCCCATGACAGAGGAAGACTGAGACCTCATGGCAATTATTTTCATAGTTATGAGGCGATTCCATCGTCCATGTTCGCAATACTACAGGCTGTTCTTGCTGCCAGCTTTCCATTTCCATCTGTACAACAAAAATGCATTTTTGAGACACAAATCTCAACCTTTTAAAAAAAAAAAATCACCACACTAGATTTTTGTGTCTATACTTTCAAGCTGCCAGTTGTACATACAAAGTGGCTTTTAAGAGGCTACAGCATTGATTTACACCTCAACTAGTTAAAGACACCCTTGATAATGATAGTAAGGAAGCACTTCTAAAGCAAAATTCATCTAGTAGTCTACTGGGGAGGAGACAGTCTCACCCCAGAGTGCCTACAAGTCTCCAATAACAACCAAAAGAGCCTGGATGAGTAATGCAGATTTAAACATCTACACTACAGACATACAAACTTTGCATCACCACAAGCAATGAAGCTCAAAATATTAAGCACATACTATTTTTAATTTATTTTCCTTTTCCTCCTCAGAATCCCTCCTTCCTTATAGACTTCCCATTCCAGTTGCACTGCCTGGTCACTCTGCTCATCTTCCCTATCAGTACAGATACATTTCTAGTTCTTCACACAATATTTCATTACACATCCCATGCTTTTAGAATCTTTCCACCTCCTTTCAAATGCCCATCAACAGAATCACCTGAGTTTTCTATGTCTTTCTTGCCATTTTGCTTTTGTTTCACTACACTTAATAGTGCCTGTATCTTTAGTTACCTTATGAGGCTCACTGCAAAGGCTTTTCAGTGGTTCTATCAAAGTGCTGAATCCCTGCAGCAGCGTACAGTACGGAATGTCTAAAGTGCAAAAATCCAACAAGAAGATGACCTAGGAGAAAACACAGGTCTCGTGATAACGCACATAACCACAGCCACGCTACCTGGGAACAGTACAAAATCCCAGCGCTCACTTACCAGCTGACGTGTTGCCATAGCAAAGACAGAGTTACTTATTTTTTCTACTATTGCTTTGCCACTATATTGGGATAAAAGCGACTGCAAAATCTTTCTGATGTTTGACAGGAACTGGCCCACATCTAAAGAGAAAAGAAACCCTTTAATAGCCACCTTAAGGATTTTGTACCACAACCTGCTTTATCAAACACTGAAGCGTGGGTTGACATGTGCAAGACGGACAGCAGGAAAGGCACCTGCTGCCCCAGGCCCTGACACTCAAGAGTGAAAATACTTCAGAGTTTTCTGTGACATTACTATGGTGGAAAAAAGTCATGCTTAGCAATGATATTAAAGAAGAGATGAGTGAGGAGTTTAGTCAAATGCTCCAGGACTGTCGAAACAATCTCAGGGCACCCAGTAGCCTCCCTGCACAGCTAAGAAATGAAGCTTAAGTACCAAGCGAGGGTAGTAAAGTTTAGCTCTAGCCTTGCTCCATTTTTAAGTGTAAGACAATAAACTTATTTATACACAAATAGCATAAATATGAAGTAATTTTATATAAAAAAACACATCTCCATTAAGTACTTGGCTCAATTAACTACTCTGTACTGAGCTGCTGCATTAATTAACAAACCCCTTGTAGCAAAACACCCCTTAGAAGTGCCCAGCTCCCTAAGTTAGTTCCTTTTTTCTTGCTATCACAAACATCTAGGAAAATCCACATCACCACACACGAGCTTATCAAAATAAGGACATTTAGAGAAACCAAAATGTTCAAGTGAGAGTCTGTAACTGCTTGTTGTTGAGGTTTTTTTCAGTCTTTGTCCCTCAAAACTTACTGAAATGTTTTCTGAAGATTCTCCCAACATAAAATTATTGGCATGGCTAAAATTCTAAGTTGCTCAATCTGACTACAAATTCCTTCCTAGAGAGATTAGAAATGCTATGACAGTTATAAGTGTGCCTCAGGCAACCACTAGTGAACACTTATTACACTGCACTTTGCAAAATCGTATTTTAAAGTCCTGCATTACACCACACTTAATTCTGCATTCAGCCCCAGCACTTACAGTTTTTAAGTATTTCCACAGCGAGATCCTTGGCTGAATTATCACTACCCTTCAGTTGCAGGTAGCACCATGAAAGGAGGCTACCTTGAACAGACCAGAACAAGGAAGACAGGACTCTGCCACTCTCTTGCTGCGCAACATCCAGCATCATCATTTCACACTGAAAAACAGAGAACGTACCAAAAGGATACCCTCTTCTGCTGCAGAACGTCACACGATGTGTACCAAGTAAACTGTGATGGACATCCACATCCCACTCACCCCACAGAAAAGATTAAATGCAGCTGACAAGCAGCATATAATGCCATGGAACAACGAATGCTTTCTGCTTTGATAAAGCGCCATTTTAAGTAGGAATAGCTGCATATGAGTCACTCAGTGTTCTCAGCACATCTTTTCTGCGTATGTCAACGACCCTCCTCCATTCACACCTCCCTTAGTGGCATCACCAATTCTAACCTCTCAGTACGGGAGGATTACTTACACTTCCTAGCATTGACAGGGTGCCATAAAGGCCTTTCAGCACTACGGGAAACACCTCATCTTATACATTCCTTACTCTACTATTACAAAATGTAAATACTCCAATTGGCTGGAAAAATCTAATCTTGAAGACTTGCACAGCCATGAACAGTTTTATCCAGAAGGACAGGAAAGCTAGCTCTTCAGCACACATCTCAGGCATGCAGCTCATGTTCAAATGCACACAAAAATCACGGCAAAGAAGCAGGAAGAGGAACAGTTACCTCTCTTGCCGCCACTAGCAGAAGGGTATCCATGACTGACAGCACTTCACTTATGTCAAAGTTTGCAGCAACTCCTTTCTCTGGTAATAGCAGCAGCCCACCAGGATCTTGATCACTACAAAACAAACATCTTCTTACTAACCAACAACAAGTAGCAGAGCTTCAAAACACAAGTTTAGTTATCCTTGTGACAAATCTGTAGAGATCCTACCGTATAATTACTATCAAAGTCAAGAGTTTGGGTTCTGATGACTCCAGACTGATTGAATCAATACCAACCATCACCATGGACAAATAATCACTTAAAAAACTGGAAGACAGCCTAGGAGAAGCCTAAGAGCAATATACAGCTATTTCAGTACCATCCTTGGACAGTGCCTTATATAGCTATTTGGTTAAAAAACAATATTAGGTAGTAGAATCCTCTTTTCTAAATCAAAATCAGTTGATGATTTTGGAGAATTATTGCCCAGGGGAATAACATTTCTAAGAAAGATTAAATATTAACTTATTAACAGATGTGTGGTATCAGACAGTTATTTTCTGTTTCAGGACCCCCTACCTGAAGTGGGTACACAAGGATCTGAAGGCAAGATGTACAGATTGCTTATGTTCTTGCTCTGTGATGTTTTTCTAGAAAAAGGAAAAATATTTATTTTTATGAGATGTTGTGTTTCTCTCATCTGTGAGAAAGAATCCTAATTTCTGTGTTCTACTACTCATTTTTGGTAAGAAAGGCAGGGTTAGCTCTTCTTTCTTTGGATAAGCTGCAGAGAGAGAGAGAATGGGAAGGGTAAAAAGAGGCAAAGAAAAAAAAAGGGGGGTTATTTTAATGGGACAAAGTATACATCATCTGACAACAAGAACTCAGATTTGTCCTCTTTTCTGCATAAAGAAAGCAGGTACTAAATACCAATTTCTCATGTAAAGGTTTACCATCATGGTGAAGAGCTGGTGCCGCCTGGTCTGTCTATCTGGGAAAAAGACTGCTGCTCCACTGAGTAAGGTGTTCTTAACTTCCTCTTTCAGCATTTTCATTGGCATGAAGTTACTGTCCCCCATATCCACTACTGCTCAGACAAAAAGGAAACCAAATTGCAAGTTCAAATTAACACTCCATCTAATATGTCAGAGGCATAACTGAATTAACAGTGTTGTTTTAACAACTTCAAGCCCTTGCAATCCCATTATACACACAGAAAATGAGGGGAAACTTCTTGACTTCTAGCAAGAAAGATTTTTTTTTTTTTAAGGACATATTTATTCACTGAGTAAATTAATTCTAGGAACATTCAGATTTGACGACTACCAGAGCCCATAAGAGTTTTCAGGATGTGACAGGTTATACAGAATCTGATTTATCGCTAGCCTGCCTTTCAGGAGACCGAACCTTACAGGTTCCTTGTAAGATCATTTGTATTTACAGGAAATACCCGAAATAAGTGAACCCCAGTTAAAGGATCACATTCCCTGCTGGTTCAAGCAGGTGAGACATTCAAAGGAAGTTGTCTACTGCAGCTGTTTCCAGACCACATGTGGCCAAAAAGTCCATAAAACCAAGGAAAGTTTCACTATGATAGACTAGTTAGCCACACTGACCTGAAGCAGAAACAAAGAACCAGTAGAGACTTGGCCTCTAGGAATAAATATCTTTTCCCAAATTGTAACTGGTGTAACATGCTTGTAAGCCAGAAGAGTCAAACATCAAATATCAATTACCTTCACACAAATGTCTGTAGAGCTCTTCTGCAGCTTCTGTGTGACCAGATGTTTTGCTCTGAGAAGTCTCTTGAGGTTTAGCAGTTTTACTGCCTCCAGTAAGCACAGAGAAGCAGCTCTGGAGAAGCTGCAGTAGCAGTGTTTGAGCAAAGATGCATTCTTCCCTTGGGCTGTAAGGAACCATAAATCAAACAAAAACTAGAAAATAAGCTCTTTTGCACCAAATAGATAAGGCTACGAAAATCACTATCTCATATGGATAAAACATACTGAGTAGAGAGCACATACCCCAAAAAAGTATAGCTACCAGCTAAATTAATCTACATCTCAAGCTTCTACATGACATTAGAGTCAAAACCACATATGGCAGCAGTAGGAAAATGCTATTTATGTGAATGATGTAGTTTAGGAAGAAGAAATGGCTGCAACTAAACCAAGCACACTTCCTTTACATATACACACACACAGATCAGTGCTTTACCACACAGCGAAGTCATCACTCACTTTTGGTGAAGTTTATTGTAAAAATTCCAGAAGAGCTGCAAATCAAGGCCTGTGAAATCTAAAAATGACTTGTATTTTAATC